TATAACATTGAAAAATGGACGGATGCCTTTATTATATATAGCAGCATCTACTCCGCAGTTCACCTTGATTCAGTTCAAGGGTTATTCAAATACATGCATGATGTAAGGTTGGGAGCATCAAGGGTTGGGGGTCTTGGTTTCAAAAAATATGACGAGCAATTTCGTCTTCGTCGTAGCCTTAATCCAGCAATTCCATGGGGAAATGTAGACAATGAATTGTGGCTTATTTACATGTGCCCAACAAATGCATTTCAAACCCCAAGCACAGTCCCCTCTCTGTCAACATACACATGTTTTGATTACAATTATAAAGGGATTTGTGTGCGCCCAATATGTTCCTATAGCCATGTGTGCATCAAATGTCGAGGTAACCATCCAGTTTCACAGTGCCCTCGGGCATCATCTTACCCTCAAGCTCAAATTCAATCAGGCAATTATGGGAATAACTATGGTCAGGTAAATACCAAAATTCCTTCCTTATCATCAGTTGCTCCTATTCGTTTTCGCCCCCGTGGACCACAGGCACAAATCCCCAGATCAAAGCTTCCAAGGCATAACTTGCCCAGCACTAACTATCATTACTCATATTCCGCCAGACCTATGGGAATTGGGAAAAACACCAATTAATGTAGACAGGTTAATTGAAAGTCTTGAAACATACCCAAATAAAATTGCAGCACTTGAATTAAAACAGGGATTTTATGAGGGATTTAGATTACATTACAATGGTCCAAGGATTCATTGTATGTCAAAAAATTTAACATCAGCCTCTGATCATCATGAGGAATTGTTGGATAAAGTTAGGAAAGAGGTAGAGATGGGTAGGATTATGGGTCCTTTTCTTAATATTCCATTAGCTAATCTCCATATTTCACCTGTAGGAATAGTACCAAAGTCAGATGGGGGTGGCGTATGATCATGCACCTTTCATATCCAAAGTTCAAAAGCATAAATTACTTCATAGACCCAGATTTATGTTCTGTCCATTACTCATCATTTGACAATGTGGTTGAAATGATAGCTAATCTTGGGAAAGGGGCCTTGCTTGGTAAAGTAGACATCAAAAGTGCTTTTAGACTTATTCCTGTAAACCCAAGTGATTTTGATTTGTTGGGCTTTTCAATTGATTCTTTATTTTACATAGATAAGTGTTTACCTATGGGGTGCTTAATAAGTTGCAAAATTTGGGAAACTTTTGCCACATTTCTGCATTGGTTAACAAAAGTTCGGTCAGGGTTAGATTCATTGGATCACTATCTTGATGATTTTATTTTTGCTGGAAGGTTAGGAACAAACAATTGTCAAAAACTAATGTCAGAGTTTATAAATATGTGTACTGAGCTCGGTATTCCATTAGCAGAGGATAAGACCATTGGCCCTGTTTCTGTACTTACATTTCTAGGATTAGAGATTGATACCATTAATATGTTGATTAGGATCCCTCAGGCAAAAGTTGATATTCTGAAACAAATCATACATGACTTTTTGGCAAGAAAATCAGTTTTATTGAAAGAATTAGAATCATTAGTAGGAATGTTAAATTTCTTTGGAAAAGCAATAAGGTCCAGTAGGGCATTCAATCGTAGGTTTTACGATGCTGTGAGTGGTGCCTCAGAAGCTCATCATCATGTAAGGTTATCAGTTGAGTTGAAGGAGGATTTATATATGTGGTCTAAGTTTTTAGAGGAGTTCAATGGGATTTCCTATTTTCCAGATAAAGAGTGGATAAGTTCAGATGTACTAAAATTATATACAGATAGTGCAGGAAGTGCAGAGCTTGGATGTGGTGCATATTTTCAGGGTAAATGGGTGTTTTTTCAGTGGCCATTAGCATGGCAAAGGACTGATATTCTTAGAGATATGACATTTCTAGAGCTAGTTCCCCTAGTATTAGCAATTAGTTTATGGGGTCATGACCTTAAGTGCAAAAAGGTTTTGTTTCACATTGACAATCTTGCTTTAGTCAGAATAGTAAACAAACAAACTTCCAAGTCCAAGAGAGTAATGAAGCTAGTTAGGCAATTGGTATTAATGCTTATGGAATGTAATTGTATTTTTAAAGCCAAACACATTATTAGTAGTAATAATAGTATTGCTGATTCTATTTCTCGCAAGCAGTGGTGGCGGTTCAGGGAATTGGCTCCAGAAGCAAAGGAAAGTCCAGAACCCATTCCAACCAATTTTCTTCATTTGATTTGCAGTTACAAGTAGAAAAACTATTGGATGCCTCCTTATCAAAGAATACAAAGCTAGCATACGATACTGGAATAACTGCATTTCAAAAATTTAGGGATGAATTTAGCTTTTCAAATATTTGGCCTCCACCCCAGAGCATGTTGTTCAATTTATAGCATATTTATCTCTGAAAAAGTTTACTTCATCAACTGCTAGATTGTATCTATCAGCAATAAGTTTTGAGTGCAAGTCCAGAGGTCTAGTTGATATCACAAAGAATTTTTTGGTTTGAAGATGTTAGAAGGCATGAAGAGATTATCAGTTAAGAAAGATCCAAGACTTCCAATTACCCCTTCTGTACTGTGTAAAATAATTCACATATTACCATCAGTCTGTACAAATTTGTATGAGTCTCGTCTCTTTCAAGCGGCATACATGTTAGCATTTTTTGGGTTTTTGAGAGTTGGGGAATTAACACTGTCAAAGGGAAATAGTTTTGATACTATCATTCATAGGTCAGACATTAACTTTGATTGTGACAATTCTAAAATGTATTTGACCATAACACATTCCAAAAATGACCAGTATGGGAAAGGGGTTACCATTTGCATTGAAAAAACTGGTACTCTCCAGTGCCCAGTAAGGTACATGCTAGAGTTTCTGTCTATAAGACCTGCAGTCAATGGGCCATTATTCTGCCATCTTGACCATTGTCCTCTAACCAGATATCAATTTACAGCAGTTTTACATAAAGCAATAAATCTTCTTGGGTTTCAGAGCTGTAGCTATAAAGCCCATTCTTTTAGAATCGGGGCTGCAACTACTGCTTACCAACAAGGGTGTGATCCAGATTATATTAGAGAGGCAGGTAGATGGAAGTCACAAGTTTACAAGTCTTATATTCGCTGCCCTATTAAGAAATTATGTTTGTAAAATTTATGCTTTACAGGTCATTCTACTGTTTGGTGTGTTGGGTCATCTATAGTTAAGCATGCCTTTCAGGCCGCCTTGCTTAGGACAGGAGGGGTTCACTTAGGATTGGAAAGGTTAGGGATGGATATCTGGTGGCAAGGCTACTCAGGTTTAAAGTTAATTAATTTAAAGAAAAAAGTACTGTTATTAGCCAAATATGAAGATTATCCCGACTTCTTGCTCATTCACTGTGGGGGGAACGATTTGGGGGAACCAGATTTACCTTTGTTTAAGCTTATTACAATAATGAAAGAAGATATAGAAAAATTATCGCAGCTCCTCCCCAATACAAGACTTGTTTGGTCCCAAATTTTGCCACGCCTTACATACAGACACTCGTTAGACAATTCTGCCATGGAACGGGCGCGTGTACGATTGAATAGGGCAGCTGCTTGTCAGGTACTTCATCTAGGAGGGGCTTATATCAAGCACCCAGATCTCATTAGGAACATAGAGTGTTTTTTGGCTAGTGATAAGGTGCACCTAAATCCGTTAGGCAATTCTGTATTCTTAAACAACATACAGGAGGGTCTTGATTATTTTAACAGTGGGTGTGGGTCAGTATTTCCTGACACCCACTGTTAAGAGGGGTGGTTACCATTACATGTTGGTCGTGGGTCAGTTGAATGGGGCTCCCCATGTGTGGGGTGACCTTAAACTTTTAAGTTTTAGGTCATGTGGCATTTGCGCCCATCCATTCAACTGATGTTTCAACCTTGTGCATCTGACTGTGTATGATATTTTGAAGACATTGAACTGTGAACATTGGCTTGATATTTTATAATGTAAATACATTAATTTATTTCATTGTTCGCGGTCAACCCGGAACAAACAAATGCTGCTTGATTGTGCTGCTTATTTTATGCTTGTTGTTGCTATATTTGAATTTATTCAAAACTTTTTTATAATTAAAAAACATTAATAAGCTTAAAGGTAAATGACTGTTTGCGGTAAACCTGGAACAGCCAAATAATTGATTTGCTTTGTATTGTGTTGTTGCTTGAATTTTGGGTCTGCCCTGCTTGGCGACCCTTTGCTGCTTATACATGTATATTATGCCACGACCAACAACGCCAAACAATAAATGTTTAAATATAAATATTACTGTTTTTCATTTCCTCTATATAGATAAATTTTATTTGTTGATACAATTTATGAATTTACATGTGTACAAAAAATCCTCATATGAAACACAAGCCACTATTGGGGCGCACTGGAGAGTTTAAAGTTTTACATTGCAATATGCCCAGCTGTACGGATTTTAGTTTGATTTGTACTTGTAGCATTCTTGATATTTCGCGAGACAGTCCCTTGACAACGGGATGAGACAGAGATATCTCAGCCCTGAGGGCGAGACAGCCCTAGTTCCAAGAGGCTGTCTCACCTAGTCCGAAACGCCTGTATCAGGGCTGATACACTACTATGTATATGATATAAAAATATCACAGATTTTTATCTATTATACTCTTTTAAAGGTTTTCACCGCTATTGCAGCCTAGCTTAATGGACAAACTAGTAGTTTAATAATATAATAAAAACTAACACTGTAAAATATTTAAATGCTTATATATCAGTTAGACAAAACACATGTGCTGAGTATATAATTAACTCAATCGAAGAATCTGGTCATAGTTTACATGACTCACATGTAGCAAGTTTATACATTTACTGATGCTAACCATCCATACTTTCCAAAATTTTTGGTAGGAAACGATAATTTGTTGCAGTTTATTATTGTATTATATATCTTCTCAAAATCAAAATGTTACGTAAAAATAGTAAATTGCCTTTTAATTTAAAAATATTTGACATCTGATCCTCAAATTCACAGATTATTTGATCCCATCATGAAACTATAGACATCGTTTTGGTTTTAAAAACCAGATTTTGTATATTGCTATAATAAGTCTTATAGATGAAGCAGCCTGAATTTTGTGGAATGGATGTTGTTTTAAAGACTTTTGATAGGAATATATAGCTTCAGGAATGTCCCCAGCCACCTCCTGACAGATTCCTAGTATCTGCCACGATATGTCCCTCGACATAAGCTGTATGTAAACTTCTTCATCCTTGTGTACTAATTCACGTAGGTTTCTCAAGGCCTCTTGTGCTTTCAGTTCGTCTGTATTCATGCTGCATAAAAACTCTACCATATGTAACAGTACAAATGATGGAACTTGTAATAACATTTTTTTAGCTTGTTGACACAATAGCTGTTCTATCATTAATTCCTTTAAGTAGCAGATACTGTTGTTCAGTTTGATATCAATGACTGCAGCCTGGTGCAGAACTTTTGTGTCTATGTGTCGGCTTTTCCCCCTACATTCCTGGGGGTCTGATAACTTGGCCTTCGTCGTCCCGATAATTGCTAAAGCTTCTTCATACCTACATGTCTTATAATAATACAATGCCAAGTATAGCATTTCAAAAATAAATCCAAACCTGGAGGCTATTTTCAGCAAACGAATAGCAATTTTATCGGCAAGGTACAATGCTTTGTTTCCATCCTTGAAATGATTGAAAAGTATAAAAGCAGTATGTTTAAAGACAGAGACCGTGATTTTCTGGAGAAAGACGGCATGATTTTGTGTCAGAAATAGAAGGGTTGTCAATCGTTCTGTTATTGTTAGGTACCTAAAGCATTTGTATGGTTTTGATAAGGGCAATGAGTCCTTAATGTCTATCTCCTTAACTAGTTCAACGGAGAGTTCGGTCTTTGAGAATAGCATATTTTCATCTGTATTAATAAAATATTCGGGGTTATCAATGAAAGAAGAAATGAAAGGACCAACTGAATGGCATAGCAGCAGACAAAGCATCCCCTTTTCATAAAGTTCATATAATTGAGTGAATAAATCTTGTTGTACCGCTCCATAAATCTTTGTTAAAAACATGTTGTTTTCCGGAACAAAAAAGTTAGGACATTCCCCATTGTACACCCATTTGAGGATGAGTTTAAAGCAGATCCAGAAGCATTCCAGGAGATTCTGTGGGCACCAGGATACAATGCTTTGCTGGACTACCCAGAAAACGCATGTTTTTATATGATAGGAAGACAGTACTTTTTCCTCATCTTTTAAACCCTTATTAATCACTTCTTTCAGAAACAATTTAAGCAATCCATATGTTAGAAATTGGCAGTGATTTAGAGAAAGGACAAGTTTTCGCTCTGCTGACGCGAAAGAGATTCGCCATTCATTTTCTATGTGGTTTCCTAGTCGGTGTGCTATTGGTACTACGTGACTTCCGCTGCTGATTATATCATAAAGAAGAAGTGGAAGTGGCCAGGACTGACGTCGACATCTGTCTATCCATCCGTAGGCGGGAGGGGGCCAAAAGTCGGAGAAAAAGCCATGTACATCGTCATATTCCAAAACCCCTACCATTCCACTACCACTCGGTCCATGTACAAGAGAATTTGGTCTTATAAAAGAGCACATGTTTTGTCGGTATTTGAAACTAGATACATAGATTTTTTCGCTACCATCTATTGTAACACGTGACGACAAAACTTCCTGGCAGGCTATCGGTGTCGGTAATTGAAGTAAAGTATACCCTGGTGGACTATCAGAAACGTCAGAAATGAGTATTGCTTGCGGTGTTGTGGGGTATATGGAAACCTGGGACTCGTTCCAGATTACTCTGTGGTTATTTGGCCAGTACATGGTGTCTATATCTGATCCTTCCATTCTGAAACCTTCTCTGTTACTTCCAGTAAACAATACACTATCCTCTTCCATTGTTTTTACTTCTTTTATCATAATTTCTAATATAGCAGCCACATCTCTTCTAATGGCTAGCTGTTGTTTCGTCCCCACAAGACGACACAGTCCCACGAATACAGACTCTGATAAACGTTGTATACGATCCTCTCTGTCAAAACGTCATTAATTTTTATTATTATATGTCTCTTATGTATACGGAATTTTTATTAAAATATCATAAATTGATTCAATTCAACTATACTTACACTGTTGGTTTTAATTCTGGCGCCATTTTTCTACTTGCATGGTTTAAACTGGAGCTATTTTTAGAACAAAGAACTGTTAAATGTCCATACAACTGTTAACGAAAATCATCTAATTATTGCTCGATATAGGAATGAAATACATAACATGAATTATTTTTAAAGTACAAGAACAATCGGTGTAGAGAAAGAATTTTAAATTTGAGACGGAAAGAAAGAGATCTATTCTACACAGTTTCGTCTGCCAAAGTGCTCTCCTTTGCTGTTGTTTATGTATGTGATCGATTGCCGTCACGGGCTGTTACTCAGGTTTCCAGAAGGCCGAGTAAGCAAACTAGAGATTAAAACCTCTACTGTAGTGTGCTAAAATTTACATGATAAATGCGATATAAAATGATAACAATAATTTATATGTTATAAAATAACTACATGAAATAAATTAGAAATACTTAAAATTTTAGTAATAAGTTCAAGAAAGTAAAATTTTACCCAAAAATATATACATAAACTTTTTACATAGATGGCCAGACGCAAGCAGTGCGAGCTTGAAAAGTGGAATGGATCCTACGATAAGTAAAGCAAAATTTTATCGAAGCAGAAATAATTTATCAAAAGATTTGCCTTTCGCCTGCAGTTGCTACACCATCCCAACCTGCAAACAAATCTAAGAAATCTAGAAAATCAAAGGCAACATTGAAAAGATTATATAACATAACAGTCGTGAGTATGGAGATTGGCGAGATATCACAGTTATAGATAATCATTCACTACCTCGATGAGCACGTTTTAGTTATATTTCTTTAAAACGAACGCAAATTAAAACGATGACTTGTTTGAATTCATCATTTCTCAAAATGTGGTATTATATCTATATTTGCTTTGGGTTTTTACTAATCAGAGTTGTGCAAATTAATACATTAATAAAATTAATCGCCAATTTGTTAAAAATTACATATTGAGGCAGTTGCGTTCATATTAATATGAATACAATTAGTGAGTTCAGACTCAAGGAGGCAATGATTAGAGAATATTTCATAATTGATGGCTGTTTCAAGAAAAAATAATTTACAATAAATGCTCCAAAATATTTCTTTTCAAGAAGAGACAGTACGTAAAACAAATAAAAAACAAACATATTAATAAATGACCACTACTAGAGTCTTCTATAACCTTTATCAAATCTCAGACACTCTTAATCACAAATTAATATTACACATAATATTAATACTTTCGTGGCTATTATTTTTTTTTTCGTTTACTAGAATCGATGGAATTATTTTGTATCTTCTTAATATTTAGTCTAAACATTGTGTTCTTATTTAGTTTACATGAACTATGAAGATATCGAGCAGTATTCAATCTCGAAAGTCCAATAAAACGATACAAATTTGGAGCAGAGCAAACATGGACCTCAAAATTTAGAAGTGGGATCAGGTGCCATGGAGGAGTGAGCATCCCCTGCCGACCGGTCACACTCGCAGTGTGCTCCTTGTCATAATCGGGAAAAACCCTGGAAAAATCCGTAGACAGTTCGGTGCATAAATAACGGCCTAACAATATAATGAGCATGAAAAACATCAGTCATCATTAGACTCAATGATAAGTTGTACGTGCTGACGAGGTCATTGTATGGACTTTTTTATTGAAAAAGCAGCTGTCTGTGATGTCAAAAAGCCTGGACTTCAATTTATCTTGGGGAATGGTTGTATAAAATGGTGAAAGTCGTACGTTTTGGTGTTATTGATTATAAGAAAATTTTGTGATTTCAAATTTTCTAAAAGTTCTTTGGAGTTTTTAAGTATCCACATCTGATTTACACCACTTCAAGAATAAACTGTGTACAGTACTCCTAAAGTTTCTCCTTTATTACAGTAAATATTTTAGTGAGGAGTTAAGAAAGAGGCTTGGTAGAACATTTACTGGAACCCGCTATGTATCTTTGTAAGGATTTTTATGAAGCTTAGGAATCCAGTATAGGTATGGTAATTTAAATTCATTTTGATTGTTGGGAATATTAAAAATATCTAATACGCACATATGATTTTGAAGAATTTCCTCCTTAGAAAGGAAACTATGGGTGTAAGTTGGATTTCCACCTGCAGAATTAAATCCTAGTTCCTCTAAAATACAATTCAAATAATGAGCCTTACAATCAAAGACTATGTTGTTACCGGCTTTGTCAGTTGGGACCAGTACATACTGATCGTGTAATCTATCTAATTCCTTTTTCACTTTTGATTTATTAAAGACAGAAGGATAAATAGTTTTATTACAACCCTCAATCGCTTAATAAGAGATTTCAACATCTGATGCTCTTAATTCATTCTGACAAAGTGGCAAGGTCTTCTTTTTCGTGTTTGGCCCATCGCCTGGCATAATCTTCCACAGAATTCACAATATTTATAACATTAAGACGCCAGGTGAAAAAAAACGGTGTTCTCTAAATTCTGGCCTTTTTAAAATAAGGCATTTAAGGTCCTTATTGTACTTACATGAATAATGTCTTAGTTAATAATCCCGAAGCCTTGACATCATGTAAAAAAAAAGAATAATATTTGAAATTCTTTATTGCAATATTTTAGAAAACATATTCAATATCATATGAAGATCACGTTAGTATTTTCGATAATAAGAAAATATATGGTTTCAATAAAAAGTATATATGAAAGCAAAAAGAGCATAGAAGCTTATTTTTTGTCTGTTTCAAGAAGAAGGATTAAGACTATTTTTGAAAAGATTTTTAGAGTTTTTTTTAAAGTTACATAATGAGTCAAAATCATGTGTTTCTTTTAAGATAATTGTATCATAAAACAAAAGATTTATGTGAAATATGACTAAAGCGAAGTTTTGACAACTGAACTGCACTGGAAAGCAATAAAAGAACTGCAAAATGTAAGTATCGGAAAAATAAAGGTTGTATCTACCGCTTTGTTGTTATCGTCAATGTCAACAATGTCAAGGTCTAGGACGCGACTTTTATTTTTAGCGTGAAACATGTAAACAACATTGAATTGGAGCAAACAAAAGTGAGGAATAAGTTCTGTTCATCTTTATTGAAGATTGTATCAAAATCCTTGGTCATCCGGCATTTATATCTATGGAATTGACACCATGGTAAATTCTTCTACGTATGAATACAATAAAGAGGAAGAAGTGAAGCAATATTTTTGTGTTGGGGCAAACTAAAATTATTTTTAGTTTTATTTTTCTCCAAAAAGGTAGATTTTTTATTCTGAAACCTGTAATTTTCTGAAACCTAATATCTTCAAGAACTGAACAAAATTTGCATGTGTCATCCATAAATTCTACTTTTGTCAGTTCTCCCTTTTTCCGTCACAGTGTCACTTTAAAAGAAAACCGAAATGAATTTCATAATTCATTTATAGAACATCATTTTTTCCGTAAAAACTCACAATTTCTTCAGAATGAATTTTATCTCCCATAACTATGAAATATATACTCTTTTTTGTGTGTTTAAGCACGCATTGAAAATAATAACTTTTCAAAACAAAAGATACAAGGGTTACTGTCTTAATCAGATTAATCTTTGCCTTGTTGTTTTTGAGAACAAGGCTTTTGACAGATTTTCTAATCTATTTCCATGTTGCTCCTTTTAGTTTGAAGATACTTTAATCCTCCCCTTTACGCAAAGATGATCTGAGAAAAATATTCGAAAATGTGCACAGAAAATAAATACATAGCAATAAACTATAGACGAACGACAAAATATTATAAAAGTTAAAATTAATGAGTTTTCAGCTTAGATGAGCAAAAATGAACAAAACACATTTTGTACATAAACAGAGCTTTCAATTCAAATGAGATTGAAAGTTGAACAAAAAACATGCAAAAAAAAATTATCATAAAAGCTCACATGAACTTTCACTTTAGGTGAGCTAAAAATGAACCAAAACACCGCAGCATTTTTTATATATAACATTGTAAAATTCAAATATTAATAACGTCTATAATATATACTGCACTTAATTTAAATATGTATGAAAAGACCTTTTTCCAAATGCTTTTAAAATATATTTTTGCTTTCCATACACTGTTCATAGTTTGTAAAATTCTTCCTTTTATATCTTTTTGTCATAATCCATAAATATACAATATTTATTGAAATATTGCATGTTTTTTAGTAGCAAGCGATTCAAAAAATATCCAGGGCTGTCTTCATTTTTCACAGTAATAGTAGAATTCATTAGTAGGTGCTGCACTGCAGGTTTTCCCAATCTGTGTAGACATCTCTTTAAAACTAGGCCTTTGATTTGGATTAGTACTCCAGCATCTCTTCATAATTCCATTGTAGCTGTTTTAAAAAATTAAATGATTTATATTCCACATCAAAATATTAAATAAATGCTTTTTGTTGTGTTTTAAACATATCCAAAGGTGTGCTTACCAAAACATGTTTAAATGTTATACATGTTATTGGTAATTTACAGAATTTTCATGGCGCTTATTTATTTATTTATCTATTTATGTACTCATTTCCAGTAAAACAAGGTTTTTGTCCCTTTTTGTCCTTAAAACAATGTAATAAAAGCTTCAATGACTTACAAGTCATTAGCAAATTCTGGTCTCTTCATCCTATGGCCATTTCTGACTTGCGTTTGAACATCTCTACTTCGCAGACCCGGGTATGGAGTTTCACCTATTATATAAATGTTAAAACTTATTTATGAGTTATAAACAAGCATGTAAAAGTGTCTGACGTCATATGAAGGGTTTTGTGTAGGTATTCTCTATAGTATAATATATATTTCTTTACTTTTTCTAATAAAATAATAAAGTACTAGCATACACATCTATTATTAATTAATTGTCTATTAATTTATTTCAATATTTTTTATTTCCTTCAATAAAATAAACTGTACATACCCAAAGTAAATACTTCCCACAAAACAACCCCAAAAGACCACACATCACTTTTTGTGCTGGCAGATTTCATTGAAGTAAAACATTCTGGGGCTGTCCATTTCACAGGGATTCGGTCCTAGAAAAGTCTATTCTTTAACAGAGCTTA